AGCCAACCCAAGAAATACCATATTACCTAGCAATTCCACTCTTACACTTGTACACCAGTGCTCATTATATTACTATTCACAGTTACCCCAAAGTGAAGACAATCTAAATGCTCATGAACAGATGAATAGATAAAACACACACACACACACACACACACACACACACACCCTGGTGGCATAGTAACTACTGTCCAAAAACACGGAGTCATTTCTGACTCATAGCAACCCCCTGGAATAGGGTAGAACTGCCACTGTGAGTTGATGAGACTGTAATTCTCTATGGGAGTAGAAAGCCTCATTTTGCTTCCTCAGCACAGCTGGTGGTTTCCAACTGCTGACTCTGGTGAGTAGCTCAATGCTTAACCATTATGCCACCAGGGCTCCTGGAGATGGGAAGGGGGGTTTATTGTTTATGGAGTTTGGAGTTTCAGTTTATGTAGATGGAAGAATAATATTGGTTAAGGCTGGTTCCCATAGTTGATTATTGTAAGTGCTGTCAATACGTTTTATACCTGTATAAGTTCAATTGGAAAATATATATTTTTAAAATAAGAGTGTGTGTGAGAGAGAGAGAGAACCTATTGAGGTTGCATATATACATCCAAACACTACGTGGGATTTGGTTTCTTGGTTTAGAGCAGCAGTTCTCAACCTGTGGGTCACAACCCCTTTGGGAGTTGAACGATCCTTTCACAGTGGTCGCCCCATTCATAACAGTAGCAAAATTATAGTGATGAAGCAGCAACGAAAATAATGCTATGGTTGGGGGGAGGTCACCACAACATGAGGAACTGTATGAAAGGGCCGCGGCATTAGGAAGGTTGAGAACCACTGGACTAGAGGTTTAGGCTCATTGTTTCATAGGACATTCCGATGAATTGGCCTAGCAATGTGTTTAGTTCTTCCATTCTGTTTTCTAGTTCATTACATAGTTCCTGGCATCTTACAGCTTGAAAAGTAGCCATTACCCTTAACTCATGAATAAATAAACCTTTATTGAATGTGGCACCTGGGAATACAAAAATGATTAACACCCTGTAGGGCAGATAACAATCTGTAGAATACAAATTCGTTATCAAATAGAAGTGCTTTAATTCCGTAATAAATGGAAGCAAAATGAGTTTAGGATGTTTTAGAGAGCCTAAATTAGTCTATTAAAAATTTAGTTCTGATTCTTGATGACATATCTTTATTAAGAGAATTGCACTTTAAGTCTGGCTAGACCAGAGGATGTACACTGGAACAGATAGGAACTGGAAATACAGGGAATCCAGGGCAGATGATCCCTTCAGGACCAGTGGTGTGAGTGGCGATACTGGGAGGGTAGAGGGAGAGTGGGTTGGAAAGAGGGAACCGATTACAAGGAACTATGTGACCTCCTCCCTGGGGGACAGACAACCGAAAAGTGGGTGAAGGGAGACGTCAGACAGGGCAAGATATGACAAAATAATAATTTATAAATTATCAAGGGCTCATGAGGGAGGGGGGAGCGGGGAGGGAGGGGAAAAATGAGGACATAATGCCAGGGGCTTAAGTGGAGAGGAAATGTTTTGGGAACGATGAGGGCAATGAATGTACAAATGCACTTTACACAATTGATGTATGTATGGATTGTGATAAGAGTTGTATGAGCTCCTAATAGAATGATTAGGGGGAAAAAAGGAGAATTGCACTTTCTAATTTGGTGTTTGATGGTTTAGGGAAAGATTCAACCCAAAGCTCTCTTCTTTTGTTATCTACTACTGTGTTTTTATATAAAGAAGCTAATATTCACTGGGTTGCTAACTACCAAAGATAAGTAAATTAAAGATTTTTACCTATTTCTGGAGTCTGAACTGGATCAAAAATGTAATCAAAATGCCTTGATAATTACTGGTGAGTAGAATGTGAAAGTTGGAAACAAAGAAAAGGATCAGTAATTAGAAAGTAAAGCTTTCGTGACAGAAATGATGCTAGAAACCCCATGATAAAATTCTGTAAGACCCACCTATTTATTGGAAATGCCCTTTTTCAAGTTGAATTTTTCAAATTCAAATTTCTCCTGGAATACATAGGAATCAAACCAGCCACATCTGTGCAAAGAGCTGATGAGGAAGCTCCCAATCATGCACTGGAACAAGGCCAGGGGACAACTGTGGAGTAGAACATCTGCTGCTCGTATGACAATTCAAGTCAAAGCTGAATAAAATTAGAACAAGTCCATGAGAGAAAGTGGATAATACTTAGTATATCCCACCAGAATTTAGAGACCATCGCAAGACTAGAACACTAGTGACCACAGTGGGTGGTGGGATTTCATTAGACATAGGAAAGAAAGAAAAACTGAAATAGATGTCACAGAGACTCTGAAACTTCCCCTATGGAGTTTAGTGAATAAACAAATGGTGGAGTGAAAGAGTTGAACAGATGACGTTAAAGGGCAGCTCAAGAAGGGAAAGGATTACAATGAAATGTGTGAAGACCTAGAATTAGAAAACCCAAAGAGAAAAACAAGCTTGCCATTTCTCAAGCAGAAAGGACTGAAGAAAACAATTCATGACTTAGTTGCTATATTTAGGATTCTTTGGGTGAGATCTATGGACCGTGTTTACTTCTGTTGGACATGGGTTTGCTGTGAGTCGGAAACAACTTGATAGCACCTAATAACCAGGGCAAAATATTGAATGATGTAGGAAGTTTTTATCAAAAGAAGGTGGAAGGAATATAACGACTCGCAGTACCAAAAAGAACAGTCAACCATTTCAGGAGGTAGCCTATGGTACAAACCGACGGTGTTGATGGGAAAAAGCCAAGCTGCACTGAAGGGATTGGCAAAAAACAAGGCTCCTGGAATTGGATGGAAAGCCAGCGTTTCACCAAATAGATACCCTGCTGGTAGTGCTCACTCCTCTGTGCTAAGTTCACACCTGGGCAGCCAACTAGAAGAGGTGCGTATTTTTGGCCATTACAAACAAAGATGATCCAACAGAATGTGGAAATCATTGATATAACATGCAAGTAAAATTTTATTCAAGATAGTTAAAAAATGGCTGCAGAAGTATATCAACAGGGAACTGCTAGAAGTTTAAGCTGAATCCGGAAAAGGACATGGAGAGAAAGATGCATTTGCTAGAACAGAACAGGAGGCAACTATGTGGTTAAAAGTCAGCAACGGTGTGCAGCAGAGTTGTATCCTTCTTTCATACTTAGTCCATCCGTATGCGGAATAAATAATCTGAGAAGGTGGACTATCTGGCGAAGCCAGCATCAGGATTGGAGGGAGACTCATTCACAACCTGTAATCTACAGATGACACACCTTGCTTGCTGAAGCGCTTCCTGGTGAAGATCCAAGATGAATCTTCAGACTGGATTATATCAACATAAAGAAAACAAAAATCTTCACAAATGGACCAATAAGCAACCTCATGATGAACAGAAAAGTTTGAAGCTGTCAAGATGTCATTTTACTTGGATCCACAATTATAGCCCATGAAATACCGTAGTTAAGAAATCACACAAAGTAACGCTCTGGGGAAATCTGCTTCACAAGAACTCTTTAAAGTGGTAAAAAGCAAATATGTCATTTGGAGGACTAAGGCGTGCCTAACCAATCCATGCTATTTTCAGTGGTCTCATGCATGAGACAGCCGGACAATGAATAAAAAATACCAAAGAATTGATGGCTTTTGAATTGTGGTTTTGGTGAAGAATATTCAACATAAGGAGAGTTTAAAAAGTCTGTGGAAAAAATGAGTTTAAAAAATAACAGAAAGTTCCCACCAAGAACTTTTTTTGGAAGGCCGCTGGTGTACCAGGGAGGAGACCTGGTGGCAGTGGTGACACACTCGGCTGAGATCAGCCCAATAAGGACAGCTGTTTGAAACCCCGGCCTCTCTGAAGGAGAAAGACAGGCTTTCTACTCCTGTAAAGGATTACAGTCTTGGAATCTTGCAGAGGCAGTTATACCATGTCATAGATGGCCGCTATGAGAGGGCATCAACTGGACAGCAGTGGGTTTCTTGTTTTCTTTTTGTTTTGGTGTGCCATGCCACGCTAAAAGAAAGACCCACTCTATTTTGGAATATGTACAACCAAAATGCTCCTTAGAAGCGATGTTACCACTTTCACTCACATACATGTTAACTGGAGCGACCAGTTCTTGGGGGGATATCACGCTTGGTAGACCTTCAAGGAGCTGGATTGACATAGCACTTGCAACAATGGATTCAAACACAGCAAACGTGAACGTGGCGCAGGGCCGGCAGTGTGCTTCCTTCTGTTGTGTATGGGATTGTTATAACTCGCTGGTAAGCTTTTCACAGTAACACAATGTATTTCTAGATGATCGATTCGCCTATTAAGTGGAGATTAAGTACTTAAATCGCCAAACTCACTGTCATCGAGCTGATTTCGACTCCTATTGACCCTGCAGGACAGGGTAGAACTGCCTCTGTGGGTTTGAGACTCTTTCAGCGAGTAGAAAGCCTGGTCTTTCTCCGTGGCAGCGGCTGAAGGTTTCAAGCCACCAAGGTTCCTATTAAAATCACAATATAAGACATTTTGTTGGAGACAATAAGGAAGCGAGCAGTCACGGGTTAACGAACGACCTTGTGCCAGCCGTACGGCGACACTTTTAAAGTACAGGTGTCACAAGTATTAAAAGCCAGCACAGGCCTCCAGGTTTCAGTACAAGCAGCAAAATCTGGGCAAGTTTATAGGAAATGCAGCCAATCTCCGCCAGGCCAAGCAGATAACAGAGCCAAGGACCCAGAGCCGTAAGAACGCCGGAGGAGTGAAGTCAATTGGATGCCAAAGGCGCGCCAGCAAACTCTTCCGAGAACTGCTCCCGGCTTCCCAGAGGCTCCGCCCACTCCCTCTCCGCCCCGCCCAGCGAGCACGCCGGAGGCCCGGGAGGTGTGAGAGGCGAGGGGGAAAAGGCAGAAGGGTGCGCATGCGCCTTCCGATTCTAGCGAGGCAATCAGCAGTATCGCGAGAGTTGAGAGCGGTGGCGTAGGTAGTTGTCCTGGTTGCTGGCGAGCTGGGTAGCTGCCGTAGCAAGAAGTGGAGGAGGTGAAGCTAGTTCCCAGCCTCAGTCTCTTTCGCTTTCCTTTCCCTTCCCTCACCCCCTCCGCCCTCCTCTCAAACAGCCCGCCTCCCTTGACCTCGGCGACCCGGCTGGCCCCGCCCACTCCCGTCGACGCGATTCCCGCCGGGAGGCAAAAAGCGGGGTCGAACCCTCAGCGCCGCGGAGGAGGCCGACGGCCGGGAGGAGGCTGCGGGGTGCCGCTCAGGCCAGTCACCGAGCCTCGGCTCCAGGGAGAGTTCGGGGAGTCCTCTTGCCCAGCCATCGGCTCGCTGCGGCGTGCCCCCAGGCCTAGGCCTTTGCCTCCCTCCCTGCGGGGCTCAGTGGGCAGCAGCGGCTGACGCAGACGGAAGGAACATCATGTCGTCCGCGACCGAGCCTCCGCCACTCCCGCCGCCGGAGAGCGCGCCTTCCAAATCTGCAGCCTTCGCCGCCGGCGGCGGCAGCAACGGCAGCAACAAAGGCGGCCCGGAGGGCGTCGTGTCCCAGGCAGTTTCCTCTGCCGTCAGCGCCGGCTCCGCGGACGCCGACATGGAGGTGAGGAGACCGAGGGCGGCGTGGGGGCGCGGGGAGCGGGTGTCCCCCCCGGCCCCGTCAGGCTTGCCTCACTCAGCCGCCGAGCCCTCTCCACTCGGCACCAAACTCGGGCTCGCGCCCTTGGGATCCACAGGGTGCGCTCATCCTGGCGCCCTCGTGCTTCCTCACCCGCCGCCGACTCCCTGTGGCTTCTGGACACTTTGCATGTAAATTACCTGCTGCTGCTGCTGCAGCTTTAGCAAACCTGGCTGCGGCGCCCTTCCAGAGAGGATGTTCCGGGTCCCCGTGGCCGAGGGGGAGCTCCACCAGGTCCCCACCGTGTCTTCCAATCTCTGGGAACTGAGGTTTTCGTTCCCGGGAGTGGATCCAGGGCTTCGGGCTGTGCAGCTCCTCCGGGAAGGAGGCAGGCACGGAGGCGGCGCATCCCTGGACTCGGGCCCGTTTTCTTCCTCGGGGTCCCGGCGGGGGCGGTATCTGTTTGGGGCAGAAACAATGGCGAAGGCCAGAGGGCCGAGTGCGCTGTGGGGATAAGCGAGGCGCAGCTGCTCCCGCGAAGGGAGAAGAGGCCCCTCCCAGGCACTGTTCCAACCCCAGGGATGCAGCCAGAGCATCAGCAGCTGTCCTGGACCCCTTATGTAATGTGAAGGGGGTGGGGGCTGTGTGAGTGGATGAATGAGTTAGTAGTGACCAGTCCAGAGCTACCCCTCTTTTGGGCCTTTGCCTCCCGCCTCCAATTCCACACCACCCCCCCTTTTAAATTTAAAAGCCATTTTAAATAGACAACCACTGATTGTTGAGGCCCGTGGGCCTGGGGGATGGCGACTGTGCCGGTGCCCTGGGGGTCGGAAGAGGGAGCTGCCAAGCCGGGCCTCTGCTCTGTCCATGGCTTGGCGATATCTGGGCACGAAGTTGCTGCTCCTAAGATTTGCATTCTTGGTGTTGGACGGCTTTAAGATATTTTAATAGCCCCAGCATGAGGGTTTCCGGGACTTTCCCATCCTCAAAGGCGAATGAAGGGAATGGTGCGCTAATATGGTAAGCTAGTGTAAAAGTAATACAAATGAGGAAATGGCAGCGCAGTTGTACCAGTAAGTCCTTTGCCGCAGTCTTTTAAAAAACTTTAGTGGTGAGCATGGTCTAGTAGAATAGGAAAACAGATTATTCTGTAGTTTACAGTGATGGGAATTTGTTACAAATGATTGGTATGGAGGATTGCCTCTCTTACCACCCCTCCACTCCCTTTGGATTACCAGATCTATGTAATTTACGTTTTATGACTGCAGGAGGTTTAAAATTAGTGGCATTGAAAGCAAACTTGTGTGCAGACAAGTTGGCAGTTTTCATCAACTTCCCCAAATGGTTTGCTCTTGAACCCTTGGATATCTTTTTTATAGCCCTGGATAGCTTTATTGTAGCAGGAATTGTCAAGCACAGATTTCTGCATTTATGAAAATCATGCTGTTATCAAGTGTTCTGTACTTTTTTAAATGGATAAGTACAACTTTGCAATGTAAAAATCGTTGCTGATTTTTGTTGTTTGGCATTTTAGATTTCAGGGAGAATAAATTTGCAAGAAAAAGACATTTCATACAGTTTAAGAGTCAGCTTATTCAGTTAAGACTGAGGGGTATTGTTTTTGCAATATCTCAAAAGATAAAGATCAGAGTGAAATGGTACTTTTCAGGTGTACATTTGTGCCCCCCACAAAGCAGCTATTAGAATTTTCTGATTAAAAGAAGGGAACAGCCTCCCCCATTTGACATCATATAAACCCCACTTCCCACTACAAATTAGAAAAGAGAACCTGTTGCCCATATGGCTTTTATTGAAGGAAATTTTATTTTAGGTTTGTGATATTGGTAACAATATTGTATTTTAATTTAGGTAATAGCCACACAATATCCGTATTTGGATTAGATAGCTTGTTATCCCCATTGTATTTAATTTCTACATTTCCTATGAGTCTAGAAGACAGGGATTTAAGTATTAGAAAATTTGTGGCAGGAATATATGATTAAGAAAGTGATTTGGGTAGAAATTAGTCAATAATGGTGTAAACTTCTTAGACAATTCCACATTTTCCCATCCTTTCAGGAAGTGTTTGATGATGCATCACCTGGGAAGCAGAAAGAAATCCAAGAACCAGATCCTACTTATGAAGAAAAAATGGTATGTTGTAGGCATGTGAATAATAGCCTATAATGAAAACTTTTTATTGGATGGTCAAATGTATTGAATGTCTTTGTTTAGTTTTTCTAACTAGGGTACCAGTTAAAATAAAACTTATATAACATGAAGTGCTGCAACTTTTGTAACAATTGTATTTATTTGTAAATTAATATTAATGAAATATAATTGTTTGGATTATGTTAGCATTGAAGATTTTAGCATCTCTAAGGAGGTGAATTAAATATCAGGAAAAATAGTTATTGAGCATTTGCTTTTCCCGTATGTCTAGCTTTGTATTCTAAATGGTTAGAAAGAGATAATGCTCCTTGTGCCTGGCTTTTCTTTTTTT